CAGGTTCTCTACTACAAAATGCTCTCCCACTACCTGAGGCCTTCTTTGTCGGTTCCATATGGTTCTATTATCTTTGAGCTGCTGCCATTCGAGTCCTGCTATATCTCAGAAAACTGATCGTTCAGCATCTTTAGCTATCTGGACGCCTGGCCAAGCACATCGGCATGCTTCTCTGTGTGTTTCTTGTCCTCCTCCTCAGATGCAGATCTAGAAAATTGATGCAATGCACGGGCTTTCTACTACAAAATGATCCTCCTACCTTCAGGTCTTCTTTGTAGGTTCTACTATTTTCTGGGCGCTGCCATTGAAGTCGTCCCGTTATCTCTCACAACCCTATATAAACCCTACAAAAAATAGTCGTTCAGAATCTGTACATATTTGGATGCCTGACCAGGCACATCGTTTGTGTTTCTTATCCTTCTCCTCATGCAATTACTGCAATCCATGTGATATACTACAAAATGCTCTCCCACTACCTTAGGCCTTCTTCGTAGGTTCTATTATTCTGAATGCTGCAATTTTAGTTGGGATTGCTCTGATATGTCTCAGCGTCCTAGAGCTAGTAAAGCCACAACCCAGCTGGCCGGTCTTTGAATCTGTAGCTATCTGGATCTATCTGCATATATTTGGATGCGTGACCAGGCACATCGGCGCCCTTCTCTTTGCGCTTCTCTCCCTTCCCCTTCGCATCCAAGGCCTTGGCTCTACAAAGTGTGCAACGGACAAGGCTTGCTCTACAAAATGCAGTAACTAAGCCTTCTCTGTAAGCTCTCTGCTTTCCAGATTGCTGAAATTTCGGAGTCCCACTCTCAGCATCTTAGAGCTAGCCCAGCCACAATCCCACTGGCCTTTGGGAATCTATAGTACCTACAGTATCTGTCTTAAACAAAGTGGCCCCCATCTAGGGGTGGCCCCCGATTCACTGTCTTAAACAGAACAGAGGGGCAGGGTTTGGCAATTTGTAGTCAGCAGTGCTGCTGGTCTTTCATTGGCCTTGCTTGCCTGGCAGGTTGATTTTGTAGAGTGTTTGTTCTAACTGTTTGATGGATGTTGCACTTAATGCGGGTCATTGTGGCTGGATCGTTTTGTAGCACTGGTACCTGTGGACCTGCATTTTGTAAGGAGGCTTGTATCTAGGCGTTGTCATTTTGTAGAGTTTCAGGGTGAGCTGCGCTACAAACTGAGCGTACCCAACGTCAACCTGAAATTTTAACAGGGATCCACATTCACATTAACAACGCGACCCATTCCACATGTTTCTCTGCAGATGCCAGGAAAAATTCGCCTGGTGCAAGCTTGAAAGGCTGCAGCTTTCTGGATTTCATTCCTCCGGACGATGCCTCACGGGCGCAGGAGAATTTGGCACCAGCTGGTTCGATGAACAAGCAAGGCAGCTTCAGCTCGTTTGGTTCATTTAACTCAGATTCGGAAATGCAAATCACCGCGCATGCTTTCCACACCCGCTGCTCGGATCGCAAATACGAACAGAGTACTTGTGTTCTTGACGTCATTTCCAGTTTCCCACAGCTTGCAAAAACTAAACATTGGCCTGCTGAATAAAGGCACTTTGTTTAACACGAATTACTAAATTACTTTAATACCTTACAATGACAATTCCCATGACTGAGCAACCTCTTCCGAGTTTGCACCGGTTTCAACGCAACTGTACAAAGGGCATGCTGGTCTTACTGTAGTATCGGGTATACTTGCATAGAGTTTATTTCTGGCAAGACTGGGAGTGCTGAGTTTGAAGCCAGCAGGCGTCGAAACCAGGCTCGCATGCTTGCATGCTAGAGATGAGGTTTAGTGGACAGCTACAATGGCAAGATTTGCACAGAAGTCTTCCAAGTGAGGCTGGAAGTTGCCGACAAATTTGTCATAGTTTTTTTGCTATTTGGGGGGGGCAGTGAGGGCCACTGTCGGAGAATCAGGTTCACACGATGGACATTGGCAGTTTTAGGACTAGGTCAGTGTGCCGCCTTCTTAGTTTACATGTTACAGAATGTGGATTTCTCTCAACCAAAGCCTGGTAGCTTTCATGGCTTTGGCTTCAGGCTTGAGTTTTATAGAGCTTTGTTTCATGCAGCCTGTTCAGCTATTGTTGATAATTTTGTGAGAGAGGTACACCAAGCTTGATGGCCAGAAGTACTATTTATTGGGGCTTCGTGACTTTACAGAGCCTCGGGTCCGTGCAATGTTGCTAAACATGCAGCTTTTGGAGATCGCAGATGCAGAGTAAAGCATTGCTTTTGATAGTTTTCTAAGGAGGTGTCATGTTGTGGCAGGTTCAAGTTGGAGCAACGTGCAAGCCGCTCAGGATGTGAAGTCGTTGGCGGGCGGAAATGCAGCTGATTCCGTTGCAGAGTTCGACAATCCAGTGTCGCAGTCACACAGCATCTCCTTCCCTATGTTTAGGAGCCCATGTGGCAGTGAGTATGGTGGAAGTGCCTTGCATTCAAGTCCTTTTCCTTGTCTAACTCAGATGGTTTATCATTTTGGGTGAGCACCGGAGGGAGTCGGGACCATGGTCTGGTGAATCTGGTCCAAGGCTCTGGCATGGACTCTCCTCCAGCTGAACTAGCACCAGAGAACGCATCTGGACAGCAAGGACCAGACTTGACACCAGGTTGGTTCTCGAGTGCAGGTGTTTGAGGTGGCAAACCATCACGACACATCACGGCCATATCAGCTGTGACTCCTTCTTGTGTTGGCCAGCCAACGGTTCATGCAGTTGCCTCAAATGTCATGCCGTTGATGTTTGCTGTCTCTGCTAGGAATGGTCTCACCCTGCATGACATTATTATATATATATTATATTACTATATACAAGTAGTTCCCGGGAAAGCCGGCGGCGGAAGTTTCCAAAAGAGTAAACCTATAGGAAATGGGCATGTGGAGGCTGATTCGCCGAGCTGCGATGTTCTTTGACAAAACAAGTTGGAACCGACCAATGGAGCGAAAGCGAAGCAACCACCGTCAACTGTCTCGCATTTTGCAAAATACAGAATAGAGATGACTCAGCCGCGTACTAAAGTTGTACTACAAAGTCGCCAGTTCTCAGCTTCCAG